GGATGGATGGATGGACGGATGGATGGATGGATGGATGGATGGATGGATGAATGTATTCTATTTTGACAAACTGTCACCACCTGCTCATTTTTCAGTGCTTGACTTTCAAATTAACTTGAGCAAAAAATAAATAATTACAATCATTGCTGGGAAAAAAGGGAATGGTCTAATGAGTCCGCAGAAATGAGTCAGCAGAAAACTCCAAAACTGCCACCAAAAAGAAACCTGCATTTAACCGAAAACAGTTCCTCTTGATACAAACCTAATCATATTTACATTTCTTTGTGAATTATAAAGTGTGTTGTATTTTGTTTTGAAAAACATGGGACCTCCCATCACACGTATTTCCTAACTACTGCCTCAGTGTATAAAGTCCTAGCATCACAACACAGTGAAGACAACATTACCCAGCTTTGTCGGCTTCGTCACTTCCTCCTGCCTTCATCCTTGCGATGCTGATCTTCAGATTTATTTTCAGGTTTTGGCAAAGACCGGTATCATGGCTCCAGCTCTTTTCATATTTTAGAAAAATGCAGCTAAAAAAATGAACAAAACCCCAAAACTGAAAGGTCCAGGGTTGAGTCTGTAGCTTCTGTGTTGTCCCTCCATTTTTTAAAGACACACTGTCAAACGGTCCATGTTGTCGGACAGCTTCTCTCTCCTGGCTGGGATTAAACAGAAGTGAGTTGTGATTCAGAGTCGTGTCTCACGGCTTTCTTGTACCCACGGCCGCCTGCTGTGGGACCATATGGTTCATTTTCACTGAGGATAAAATTTAAGCAGCACATGAAGAAGGGCAAAGGGAAGGGCAGTCTGGGTTTACAACTCACCTGTTATCATGACAGTAGGAAACAAAGAAAGAACCTTGTTGTTCGAAGGGGTATTTAACGTTGGGCTAACAATGCTAATAGTTGCTTTGAAGAAAAAAAAAATCAAAATGCCACTGTAGTTACCTTTTTACCCACTGCCTCTGGGCTTGACGCTTAATTAGCATTGAGTGATTGCACCTGTGAGAACACGGCCTGTCCTTCAATGAATCTTCCACCACACTGATCAGCAGCATGAAGCTAAGACTGGAACACAACGTGCTTGTATAAATTTGAGCCTGAATGTGGTTCTTTACTTTTACGTTAGCCTAGCATAATTTATCTAAACTCTCATTCTTGTATTTATCATGGATATTTATAAACTAATACCAAACAGCCTGTTCCCATCATTTCACAGCTTTTCTCTTGGTTGCTCCAGCCTTGTTTATTTAGGGTCGAGTTTTTTTATCCAATCGTATTGCAGGCATCATGTGTTGCCAGGGTGAAAGAAATCTGCCTTGAGAATTGCAATGAAATTTCATTTTAAAATTGAAGTTTCTTTAACCAATCAGATATTGAGTTGGCAACACCAGGTTCTTCTAGCAGAAGATTTTAAGTGATTTGATTGGATGGTCAAAGAACGAACATTGATTTATCAAATCTAATCAATATTGAATTGACTTGTGACCTAAAAAATCAAAATCAAAACAAGAAATTCTTAGCAACACCCAGCCCTGCGGCTGATTTTCACTGCCACAGCAACAATCTTAGAAATCCTTTTATTCAAAATGTAACAAAGACATCAAACTTGAGGAGCCCTTGTCTTCTTACAATAGCAAGACTGTTTTGTCCATTAGCATGTATTTAGATTTCTTTTTTTTTTTTTTACATTGATATATGTAGCGGTTCCTGAAATATCTTTGACCGGTTCTAATTCAGACAAAAGTGTTGGCCCAACACATCTCCTTCCCTCAGTAGCTGCGAGGCAGTCTCAAACTCCAGAGGGATGTTCTTGTTCTGGGTCTGTTTCAGGTCTCGTTCCATCAGCTGGAGATCAAAAACAAATGTCATTATTCCTTCTGTTTTCAATTCAGAATTAGAGACACTTTGTTGAACCAAAGGTGGGATTGTTGGGGATACAGCTTTTCCTGCAATAGCATTTCAAAAAAAGCCAGAAATGTAGTTATAATATAAAACGGGACAATCAAAATGATGTGTACTGTGCATTTCAAAAAAAGCCAGAAATGTAGTCATTAAATGTCATTAAATGTCATTAAAACATGCTCATTGACCAAAATCAGGTTATCAGCTTGAATACTGCAACAATATTAGTCTAGAATACAGGTGACTGGGAGATTGGTTGTGGGGGTCACTGAATGAAGGGGCGGGAGGTAGCATAAAACCGACCTAGCTTAGAATCGATTCTACAACTCCTCTGGGGTAAGACAACTGCACTACCCACTGCGCTTCAACCACCAACTACACAAATGAACTATGTTGAATATGTTTTTTGTACTGTGTACCATCAGTATTTTTCCTACTGCTACTCAGACCTCTGTTTATTTAACACAAGTTTAATTTCATTCAATGCGTTTCCTTTTTTTGTCTATTTACATTTGAATATACTTTCTGTTGTGCTACAGTAACATTCAGCTAATTCCAATATCACTGAACAGACAAAGCTATTCTTACAGCTAACAGCAGGTCATTTCAGTTCATCTGCAGTTTGATCACAGATTTTTCTTTTTGTTTTTGTGTAGAAGTTATTTTTTAAATTATCACCTCGTAGGTGGTTGTCTCCAGCACCTCGTTGATGTCAACCTCTTTTTCCGGAAGTGGTGTGTTGATCATCAAAGCAGTTTTGGAAACATCAGGGTGGTAATGTTTTTGCAAAGTCTGCAGGAAAAGGACAGTGTACAATGTTTGCATTTAAAACTCATTTATATATATTCATTCCTAAATCTTAGTTTATTTACACGGATTTTAAGGGTGAAGACACACACCTTTATCTCCCATAAGCTGCTCTCTAAGGCGTGACACTGGCCAGGATCCTCTTCATCCATAATGTATGGATCCTCCAGCACCTCTGTCATTATAAACAGGGAAGCAATCACATATTCTGACAAGGCTTCTGGAATGCAGATGACTTCAAGGGGACATATTGTGCTACTTTTATGCAAATGTACCTGATGCATACCTGAAATGTTAGCAACACGCTACAGTTAAAATAGAGCAGGATTCTTTACACACCTGTTTAACAACCCTGGTCTGAACAGTCTCTGTGCCTTCACCTTTAAAGGCTAATGAGCCACTGCCACAACATCTTCATGTAACCAGGTAAATCTGAAGATTGGTGTTTTTCCTTTTGAGCTCCGTGGTAGTGTATGCCATTCTGGCAGGTATGATACACTGTCAGGACACTGGACCACAGTGGTCCAGCCAGAAGGCTCCAGAAGAAAGTTCAAAGTAGACAAACCCAAGTTGTACTAGCTGTCTCCACCTTATGTTGTTACCTAATGTTGTCTTAAGTGTACACAATATAATCTATGCTAACACAGCAGCTGTGCTTAGCCGATATTATAACAGCCCAATGCAATGGGATTACCTCATTTTAAGACACGTTTCCCAATTTTGTTAAATTTATAAAACACATACTTAGTTGTGGTAACTGGTACTTCAGTAGTAAGACGCAAATATGTGAACAATACTATGACAAAGTCAGTTTTGCATAATATGACCCTTTTTTAAGAAGTTCTAACAAATACAAAACAACAAAGACTACCACTCACCATCCTCTGCGCTGGGCTTGTGAATAAGGATTCTGCAGGACGGGTGGCGACGGATCAGGTTGTAGATGAAGGGCAGCACTATGAGGATGGCTGTGGGCGGAGCTGTGAGAGCCAAACGGGCCAGGCGTTTGGCAAACGCCGCTACCAGGTAGACTGGTAGGTGACTGGAAGAAAGTGCAAAATGTCGGTTGTTTTTTTTTTTCTCATCAATTAGTGATTTGAAAATTGTGGTAACTATTTACACATCAACTGTACACAATCTCACCTGGAGCTGAGAAAAATGTTGGCTAAATGGAAAAAGCGCGCCCTGTATTTCGCGTGGAAAACTGAGGGCTCCAGTAGATTGTAAAGTTTCTTGTAGAAGTCAGGGTAATCTCTGAAATCAGTCACAAACAAACAGGCATCAACATCAAAACTCTCCCTGTCAGGGTGTTGTGTTCATTATTTTATGGCATAAGCATCATTTAATACTCACAGGTTGTGTTGGTGTATGAGGATAAAAAGGCCATTGAGGGCCAACAGGCTGATAGCGCCTCCTATAATGAAAATATGAAACACACGTTATATCATGTCCTCCACTTTGCACATGCAAATCACAACAAAACATCTGTTCGTATTTTATACTGATTTCAGTGGAACTCACCAACTTCGTAGGCAGCGGTCAAGAAGTCAAACATCATGGTGGGTTTACTCATGTGGGGCAGAATAGAGTCGTGAAGAATGACCAGCACCTGTTTGTACATGCCGCTGGGCAACTAACAGAGAAATGTGAGGATTAGTGAACGCTCACAGATTAAAAAAAAAAAAAACATGACAATGTTATACGACGGTGAACGCTTACTTTATGCTTGAGAAAGCCGAGCCACATTTTCTCAAACAAACGTTTGTGCTCCTGTAGAGAATGGAAGAGTCAGTGGTTTGTCAAAAGGTAATCAGGTCAATTTTAATAATATAATAATAAAATATCTTACGTTAAGTTTGGCAGGTTTCCAGTCGTCGTGCTTAGCTGTACACAGAAAAAATAAGACATTTAGCAGCATTAGTACAAAGAATAACTGTGCACAGTACAGGGGTGAGTCAAGAAGTTCTTAAACAAATTGATAAAAATAGATATATTATTGTTGTGTTCTTCTCCACAACTCTTTCATTTAAGCTTCCATCAGAGACTTTGACACCAGGTCACAACCTGCAGCAGTCATCATTTTAACAGGTTTACATATTTTGGTTAAAACTTGTCCCTTTTTATAGGTTATTCAAGCCTTGAAAAAAAAACAAAAAAAACAGAGAAAACCAACCCAAGTAATAAAAAAAATAAAATCTAAAAAGAGGTAAAAATGTATCAAAGCAGTTAAAGACATCTGAAAACTTGTTTCAGTGATTGACAGCTGACTCCTTTAGAAATATTAACAAATGTCTTAGAACTTTTTTGACTTACGCTCCTTATATCAAGACCGTTCTCACCTTCCTGTTGGACCATAAAGTTGACGACCTCCGACTGCTGACTCGGCAAACTGATGTTAGACATGAGGGTGAACACGTTGTTCTGGTAAATGGGTGCCACTGCCTGGTATAAACAACATGGGGCAGCTTGATATTTTAGCTTCAAAGCCACATGGGAAGGAAATTATAAATGATTACAGAGCTCTGCTCAGTCTTCTCACCCATTGGTTCTTCTTCATCACGCGGCCCACACCCCTGCAGATCGAGCTCATTGTATAGAAGCGTACGTCTTCCATCTCAAGGAATTCCTGGTATCTGGAGATCAGCATGGAATTGTCGGTAGTTTGGGACAGCAGTCCATCTACTACTTTCTGAAAATTGGGTTTGGAGAAAAATAATTTCATGAGCTTCAAGCAGAACTAATAGTTAGAGTGATATAGAATGGAAACATCTGGTTTCAACCTGGATGAGTTCCCAAGGGAATCTGTAATGTTCACTCCAGTCCATGTCTTCCAGAGGATGCTGTCCTTCCCCAGCAGCAAACTGCATCAGGCAACAGAGGGCGCTCTCCTGTGGTTGCACAGTGCCGGTGTGACATGAAATTCATTTTTTGTTTTTTATTATAGAACATCAAACAGCAAAATTCTAAGTACAAAATAAAAGAAAAAAAACAAACTCACCTTAATATTGTAAACATCGTGGCTGAGGAGATCAAGCAGAATCTCTACACAGCTGTTGTATCTGTGTCTCATAAAGATGTGGTACTTCTCCTCAGCGCTATAGTTACCTGTATGACAACAAAGAGCAATGTTTCCAAAAACTAGCACCTGGTTTTACACTTCCATCAAAATGTTCCATCAGATTTCTCCCTGCCCTCCTTTACTTTCCCTGTGAATCTTTAGTAATCTAATTGTTTGTGGTCTTTTCTTCCAACTTGACAGCTTTATCTTCAAACTTGATAACTCTCTTCATGTTCAAACCAATCCAAACTGTGGATTTCTGTTATGATCCTGACCTGTTCAACCATAGCTGCTTCTGTGTTACGCTCTTTTGAAATGACTCGACCGCCTCTTAAGTATTACTCTTTGTTTTCCTAACTCTTACTGGCATTTGCTGTGACTTGTTGACAATATGTTTCAAAATTCAACTACCCTTCAATCTACTCCTCTGCTGTAAATATTCATAGTTGCGAAGTTCAGTTATTATAAGCAACTTCTGGCGTTGAGCCTGTTATCAATCAATATCATCCTCAACATAAGGTCAGGTGTTAAGAATGATTTTAAAGCCCTCTCAAATTAAATTTCTCCAAAAATAATAAATAAATAAATAAAAATAAAAAAAGTTTTTGCCAACAAACTGTGCAATTATTATAATTTGTAATAAAAAACTGTTTTTGGTCAGTCAAAAAAGCATAAAATAATATGAATAAATAAATGACAGAAAATTAAAATAAAAATGTTTCTGGACTTGTTTTGTAGACCTGATTGCTTGCCAGTTTAAAAGATCTGGCAACCCTAACCTGTTGCTAAGACTTGCACACTTTGTTTTGTCTGACGTTGTTTAGTGACGCATTTTATAATCTGAGAGATATTTGCTGTAGACTTTTAGAAGAGCTTTTAGGATTAATCCCTAAATGCCCGTGCTTTCTGTCTGTTGAATACTGTTCCAGAACTCACCACTCAACGCCTTCTCCTCCGCCGGCAGTTTTCCTCTGAACAGCCATTTCTTTTCCAGTAGCGTACAGAAGAGTTTGCTGCATGAACTGACGGCACTGATGACATCTTTCTCCTTTTCTGACTGCGAACAGACATGGTGGACAATAACACATCCAGCCCAATGTGTAGTAAAACAACATCAGCAGCCATTGCAACTCTGGTTTAGGTCGTTCATATCTAGATTGACAGTACCTGAAGGAACTCCAGTAGGTCAAATACGTCGTTGGCGTTTTTCCTGTTCTTCAGTATACACTCGACTTTGTCGTTTAGATCGATTTTGGTCGTTTTTGCTCTTAATTCAGGTGTCTTTGCAGAACTCACGTTGCGTTTCTTGGCCGGCGCCATGTTTCGATGTGGTGTTGCGTTTAAGATCCAACTCGAAAGTATGGAAATAACACCGCTAACGACACTCTTCACTTTTTTTTAATTTATTTATTATTATTTAGAGTATGGATTTTGTAATATTGTTACAGTGTTTTCATGTAAGGATTAAATAAAGATTAGACGATTTTAACAATTATTCCTGATGTAGTTTATTTTCATGTCCCTAAATGGCCTGTGTGTCACTGAATGCGACACTAATATTATACATGGCATAATACTTCGTCCCCTGGTGGTTGGAGGGTGAAGTTTTTCCTCTCCTTACCTCGTAATTGACAAAGTCAATATGTGATATTAGCGGAAATTGTTTTATATTGCATTTATATTTTTCAGAAATTGGGTGTTTATTAAGCAATCATCCATTTAACGAGAACGGATTTTCCTTAAAATGCTGCAATTATGCTGTACCAAGTTTTGTATGAGAGTTTTCCTCACTGTTGCTAAAAAAAAACAAAAAAACTAAGTATACATTTTTTGAAGTATTTATAGCAAATAATGACCATATTGTGTCATAAATACGTTGATACAAAAACTCAGCCAACATTGAACAATTGTCTATTAATGATCCACCATTTTTCCAACTAACCTGTTATGTTTGGGGGCAATTTATTATTCATTGCACATTAATAAATGTATCAAAGTTCAATGTTCACAACTTGTTCATTAAAATGTACCATCGATAAAACAAATTATATATGTATAGAAATAAAGACAGATATTTTTAAATTAATATCTGTAATGTTTTGTTTAAATACTACACTCAAAGATAATGTTTTGTTCTAAATCACAGACTAGCTCTAATAAATGGGTCACTGACTTCAATAAAGTAGCTGGACTAACAGTACAGCTGTCTTGAGTGTGACTATTTGACATGTTCTCGTTCTTGCATGTTGATTGATGGGGACGTTAGCCAGTGTGAAACCATGTAGCACAGTCAACATCAACAAAATAAACATTATATAATACAGAAATGTGATTTTTATTTTATTTCACAGGTGTTTGTCCAGAAGAATTCTGGCCCTCCAACAAATACAGTTGGTGACTGTATACAGGCCAGTCTCACACTCTAATATAACCAACCAGCCATCTTTAAAAATGACAACAGTTCTTTCTTCATTCCACTGTCAAAACTCGTGGGGCACTTTAAAAGATTTTAACTCATACATTGCAAACCCACCATTAAAAAGCTACCAAATTAGTAACACGAGTTTGCAGACATTTGCCCTTGTGGAGTCTCAAGGTAATGCACACGGTAATTATAAACTGCAAGAGGTTCCATTATTTGGTCAAGTACGGTTTAATAACATGTTTATAAGAGAAACACAAATTTCACCGATTAAAAAGAAAACACCAGTCTTAGAAGGCAGGCATTTAGACCATATAAAAAGCAGTTTGTTAACAAAGGGAAGACACTGAGGAAGTGTCTCTTCATATGGTAAGCACTTGGTCCTAGTCTGTCTCATTCCCGTCGTCTGCGTTGTCCTAATGGGAAAAAATAAGATACAAAAGAACAGTGATTATAAAGCTTATAAAACTTTCTGCCAGTCTTTCTTAATGAGTACCAAGTCTCTACAACCAATACCTGTGTCTGGTCCTCATCTCGATTTCCATTAATTGTGTTCTGAAAGTCATGGATAGGAAGCGTGGACATCCAGCTGACCATGGAGCCTTCCTGGCACTCTGTCTCCACAATGGTTGGGTAGATGTAAGCCTCTTTAAATGCTTTGATTCCCTCTTCATCCTCGTCCCACTCCAAGCATTCATGCAGCCCATCTCCTCCAAAGCGCTTGTTGTACCGGTCAAAGTGGACTCTTTCCAGGACAAGTCCTAATCCCGGAGCTTTTGGCACATCCACCTTCTCCTCTCCCCAGCTCCTCTCGATCACATCCTCGTTCACATATCCCTTCATGATTGCAATCACCAGGCCAATCATCTTCCGTATTTGGTGCAGCATGAAGCTCTGGCCTCGCACAGTGATCACCGCAAACTCCGAGCCGCCTCGGACGAACGGCTCTCCACAGGACATCTCCATGATGTAGCGACGAGCACTGGGGTCACTTGGGGCCTTCTGAGAAGTGAAGTTGTGGAAGTTGTGGGTGCCTTTGTACGTGCTGAACAGACGGTTCACCTTCGGAAGTGTCTCCGGATCCAAGCGGAAGGCTGATGCACTTGCTGTGTCGTAGTCTTTTGGGGCAAAGGCTACTGTTGGAAGCATGTATGAGTAGGTGCGAGCGTCACAGTTGTTTTTGGCGTTAAAACCCTGGGTGACCCGTTTGAGACCTTTTGAAAGGAGGTGTAAAAAAAAAAAAAGAAAAAACTGAATTTCCCCATTGTGGGACAAACATATACATACATGCACACAACATATGTAGAATATTTAATAGAGTGTGAGGTGGAATGACTGTCTTACCAATCACTTTAATCTGTGGGGGCAGATGCTCATTGATGTTCTCAATTACGTTATCCATCAACCGTAGCTTTAGCGACACCACCTGGCCGGCAGCAGACACTCCCTAGAAGGAGTTAATTTTAATTATTATTACATTATACATCAGCATAAGTGGAGAGATAAGTATGAAATGAACAACAACTAAAAAAACTACCATACCTTATCTGTTCTTGCACACCTCTGGAAAGACATCTTCTTCATTTCATCGCCGTGATTCTCAGGAATGCAGCCGGATTTCACTAGTGCAGCGACCAGCTCATCTTCAATGGTCCTAAACTCAGAGGTTCCAACATTTCTCTGGAGTAAAGGTGTAAAAGGTGTAAGTGTAAAAACATTATTAGCCCATTTCAGAACATATTTATCCCTCAGTATGTACCTGCATGCCGTAGTATCCTTTTCCTGAATATGCCATGAGGAGGACTACTTTCTTTTTTGGATACTTCTTCTCATTCTCAGCGTTATCCTCCTGAGCTTTAATTCTTTTTATATTCTGCAGCCTCTCTGTAGAATCTTCATTCTCTTCATGGCCTCTTTTCATCTGTTTGGCCTCTGGCACATCATTTGACGCTTCACTCATCGTGCACCTGAGTTTAAATAGGTAACCTGGAAAACCAACACCCAAACATCTGTGACTATCTGCTCTATAATACAGGTATGTAAAGCTGGCTACGTGTTATGGCAATGTCTGCGTTTATTACGATACAAAGCAAATGGTAAATGAAAAAAATAGCCAATGTAACAGAAGCAACCATTTCACGACCTGATTTAAATAGCAAAAAATAAATTATTCAATTTAATAAACGATGTTTCTGCTTCTTACCGCTGATTCTTGACTTCAGTTTATGGTTCAATAAGGCACTCGACAGTGGTCTGAATTTTAACATGTTGGGCTAATCCATCATTAGAACATTATGCTAAGCAACGAAGCAACCTAACGTCTGTGATTCAAAAATGAAGCTAACAAAGTAGCAGCACGAAGACTTAGAGTTTACCGTGGAAAATGGAGGAAACCTTTAAAAAGTCCTCAAGCGAATACGCTTATAATTTCCACGTAAGTCAAAGTCTGTGGTATGGCCAAACTACACATGGCCATAACATGCATCAACTTTAACCCGACTTGGAAATATCGCGACAATCTTCGTGTTCTCATTTCCTATTACGTCACACATTTTATTTTTGATTTAACTAAGAAAAAAATTAATACAACATTTTTGAGTCAATGATAGATTTCCTCAATTCAACACGTTAGATCTTGGGCCGAAAATGTTTTATAAAAAAGCTTCAGCAATTAACACCTCTACGGTCACGAACGTTAGTTTAAGTGTTAGTAGCAGTTGTTTAATGTGATAATGATAATTGTAATGTATGTTGCAAATGTGGTATTAATAAAAACACAAGAATACTTTATTTATTCAAATATAGCTTATAGATAAAAAAGATGCCGTTTTAAGATAATATTTTGTCCACTTGAGGGCAGCAAATTCCCACTACGTAATTCATTCGTCAACTTAGACATCACCTGAGCCTGAGCTAAATGGAAGACTTAAATTAAATTAAATTTCCTTAAGTGTCATGATTTAAGTTTCAGGTTTGATCCTCACCCAATACCCTGAATCTGAATCTCCCTTTTAAACAATCATACAAAATTATATCCAATTTTGGCTCAAAAGTAGCGAAAGTTATGTTAAGTATTTAACCTAATGTTAAAATATTCCAAAGGTTTGGCCGGCAAGAAGCTACAATTTTACATTTTCAAAATAAAAGATAACAAGGTCAAGCCAAAATTAATCACTGTGGCATTAAAAAAGAAAAACCAGAAGCTCTAATATAGACAACAAAATATGTATGAATTAAAACATATGGAAAACACTAATGAAGCATGATGCAGGCCAAACATACAGTAAATCATCCTAGTGCCACAGCTGGTCCCCAGGCCACACTTTGAACAGACTGTTCTAGACCATATAAAGAAGCCTCAGTGTCTGAGGAGTTGCTTATCAGAATGCAGTGTGACTCATACATATGTGTTGTTGAAGTGTTTATGTCTTCTTCAAGGACACCACAACACAGAGAAAGGCTAGTTGCTAAGAAGCTGGACCTTTAACCCCATCATTCCAGGGGTTGCTGTAGAATTGTGTGCTTTTTTGTATCACCTTATAAGGTGATCAGATGGTTTTCTACTAAAAGCCTAATGCCAAACATAGGCTTGTTCTGGGAACTGCTGCCACAGTCTAAAATCACAGAGGGCATGTGCAGGATATTCAAATAAATGAAGGAGTTATTTGAAGCTGTAATTCTGAGTAGGAAACTGTTCTAATTCTTACTTCATTGGGTTTTCGGCTTTAACATAGGCCTCTGTCAATGCAGTTGTCACAACTCTCTCTATGCACCTAGGGCAATAGTAAAATGGAATTGCACCATAACAATATCTATCTATCTATCTATCTATCTATCTATCTATCTATCTATCTATCTATCTATCTATCTATCTATCTATCTATCTATCTATCTATCTATCTATCTA